GATAGGCTAAGGAAGTTCTAACTTTACTACAACTTTAAGAAGTGTAGYTTCTTCTAAGATTTAGTCGATTTTCTCGGCTTCGTAGTTACTACGTAAGGCGTTACGATAGACCTACGTAGGGTAGACGTAGTCGCCGAGTAGCCTCGGCTAGAAACCCTTAAGGAGGTATAAGCACTCCTTAGATTTACTAACTTCTATAGGCGGTTTATTTAGTAGTACTTACGCATTATAAGGCCCTTAACCGACCTATCGAAGGGAGCTATTAAAGGCAGGAAGCTAGGGAAGATCCCTTAGGGCGCTAGCGAAGAGAATGCGCTAAGCTAGCTTAAGGAAGCCTTTTAGTTAGCCCTACTACTAAGGCACTATAACCCTACGCTTCGCCTACGAGTCGAAACCGAYGTATCGGACTTCGCGCTTACGGGCATCCTCTTATAGTAGTTTAAGGACAAATAGTAGTATCCTATTACTTTCTAGTTACGGAAGATAATTCCGGCCGAATACAATTACGAGACCTACGACAAAGAGCTACTTATAGTAGTAAGTGCGTTTAAGTAGTAGCGTCCGTACCTCGATAGCGCTACGTATACGATTTAAGTAATTGTCGACTATGCTAACCTTAAAGCTTTTATAACGATAAAATAGTTAGTCRGTCGATAGGCAMGATAGGCGGTTTAATTAGCGCCCTTCGACTTTACTATCGAATATCGCGTAGGGATAAAGAACCCTACGGATAGTCCGAGTAGGCGTAGCGACTACGAAACGAGTACGACGGAGTCGTCTTAGTATATAAGCATACTATTACCTATACTATAAAGCAAACTTTAGAACTAGTAATCTAATAAAGCTCTTCGAAGCGAGCTAGAGCCCTCTATTAGAAGAGTAAGAGCTATATACTACGCGATTAAGTGCGAGGGATTACTGCCTACTAGAGTATACGGCGAGCTTTCGCTACCTAGGCGTATTACAGCCGTCCTAGCAGCTATAGACTTAGCCCTTAGAAATATTCCAGACCTAATACTCGGTTACGCTAAAGCACTAGTAAACGTAGACGCGGATGCTTCGAGTATACGCGACGCGGCTAGGGAGAAGGGCGAGTAYRAAGGCTATATTATTAAGAATAGAACATTGTTCTACGGCGATGCCCTATATATTCCGAAAGACTACGCTTTACGTGCGTAACTAATACGTATATACTACGATAACGCTCTCGCCGGACACTTTAGGAAGGCGAAGACGCTCGAGTTACTTTAGCGGAAGTACTACTAGCTACGTATAGCTACTAATATCGTAGAGTACATTAAGGGGTACTATATATACCTCGTAAGTAAGGCGCGGTACTACCGCCCCTACGGAGTAATAGTTCTATTACCTATACCGGATCGAGTATAGTAAGAAATTAGCATAGACTTTATTACGGACCTACCTCCTAGTAAGCGCGGAGATAGCGTCTATACTACGGTACTTATAATCGTCGACCGCTATAGCAAGATAGCTTTATTTATCCCTACTACTAAGCAATATAATATAGTAGAGCTAGCGGATATCTTTATATCTTACGTAGTTTGTAAATACGGCGTACTAGCAGGCATTATTAGTAATAGAGGCTCGGTTTTTACTAGCTAATACTAGTCTAACTTCTGCTACGAAGCGTATATAAAGCGCAAGCTAAGCACAGCCTTCTACCCTTAGACGGATAGACAGACTAAGAAAGCTAATTAGACGCTTAAGTAATACCTACGCTACTACTACGGTACGTAATAGGACAGCTAGGCGTAATAGCTACCTATAGCTGAATTTGCGTGTAATAATAGCGTATACGCGGGCCTTAGAATAAGCCCTTTCTAAATCCTCTACGAATAGAACCTAGAGCTAGCGACGCGCCCTCTAGGCGACGGCGCTAATACCTAAGATATCGCTCGGGACGAGCTCTTAGAAGGGAGAATACCGGCCGCTATCGACTTAGCGAAGTATATACGTAGCGTATATAAGGAGCTTATTAAGCAATAGCGTAAAGCTAAAGAGCAATAGTTAAAGTACTATAATAAGARCTATAAGCCTATAAGCTTTAATGTTAGTAATCTAGTACTCCTCTCTATAAAGAACTTTAAGCTAGAGGGTAAGAAGAAGATAGGACCTAAATAGCTAGGCCTATACCGCGTAATTAACGTAATCGGGACTTAGGCGTATCGCTTATAGTTACCTRCCTTAGTAAGGATCTATAACGTCTTCTACGTTACTCTATTAGAGCTATATTCTAGCCGSAAGAGTAAAGCGTAARAGGAGCGTATACTACTYRTAGTCGACGAGRATAGGYAGTAGGAGGTTAAAGAGATTCTTAATAAGAGGRTRTAGAAGGGCGAAACGTTTTATTTAGTAAAGTAGCGTAGATAGCTATTAGAATATAACTAGTAGGAAYCTAGTRTATATATTAAAGACTACGAAGCTCTCGATAGGTTCGAGGCGTAGGCTCCGCGTATACGTAAAGGCCGCGTAGTAAAAGAGGCTCGGAAGTAGAGCGGAGTAAAATAGAAGAAGAGTAATAAGAATTAAGTAGTTTTATTACGGTTAGACCTAAAGGGGATTACTTTATAGACTGTATTATAAGATAGGCGCATGCGCTACGTAAGCCTAGAGAACGCGCTAAGCACTCTACTCGAACTTATTCTCCTCCGCCTCGGACTCCTTCTCGAATAGCTCGTTTCTAGTAAGGGTAGTATCGAAGGCATTAGTAGACTGCCCTATTATCTCTAACTACTATATAGWCGGTTAGTATTATAGACGTATACGAGGAGTAGGCGAGATACTTACGATACGACCGACTTAAGCAATAGCTATAAGATTATTCGTTAAGTAAGTGAGATTAGGCGCCTCGACTACGCTACTCTTACGCCGTATACCCGAGGTAGGCTCGTTAATACGGATCTAAGCATCTAACTTAATACTAAAGGTATTTACCGCCGCCTTATAATTAGCTTCCTCCTAACTGCCCTTTTACTTAGTAGCATCTACTAGATTAAGCTCTTAGGCCGTAGCTATAACGCTATCGTAGCGTAGGCGTATCGCTACTAGCACGGGTTTATACTTATAATAATTGTTCCTTTAAGGGAAGTTAGCGCTACGTAAGAGGGGAGTAGGCGTCTTAAATAAGCGTTACTTACTTATAGTAGTCGCACTTACGCTTAAATGCGCTAAAGATAGCGTTATAGCGATAGCTAATACGAAAGTATACTAACCGTATATAGCGGCGATAGGCCGTAGGTACCTCGACGGCGTAGCGCTTACTCGCCGACGCTTAAGCGGGAGTCGCCGGCGGGTCGGGTACGCGACGCTTACGGGGAGTACGTAGCGGTATAATAAAGAGTAGATGTATAGAAGAGAAATCTATAAGATAGAAAGAATGTTAATAAGGGGTAGTTACTAGGGTAGGTTACTTAGTAAACAACCTACTTAGAGATCTATAGATATAAGCCCCTTACGGATAGTAGCGGTAACGTA